CTTTTTAAAAGTAAAATTCACATTTTCAGGCATAGGTATAAAGCACCAAAATGCTATGTAAATATGAAAGCTTAGGTGTGAGATATGTAAATACATAAAAACTTGTTCTATGTATATAAATTTTCCTGTAAAAAATTGAACTTATATAGCCCACATACACGTGCTTAGCTTCACTGGGCAGACTTGTGAAAACTGCTTAGATTTTAAGACAACTGTCCTGTGTTGTCGGCTGAAAATATCCCTGCATCACTATAATTACTCTCTGATTTCAACACATACTAACTTTTGGTCATGTGATTTCCTCCAGTGATGTCTGCAATATCCGTCTCCTCTATAATAATCATTTGTTTCTGTCTAACTGCTTTTACCTTTTGGAAAATGATTTTTTTTGGGGCATTTACATAAATACCGCACAATTCTTATATATTTATATATCTAGCACCTAAACTCTCATATTTGCATACAAAACACTCAATTCCTTGACATCACATCAAAAATAGCACATATTTTCATGCATTGGTTTTTAATATTAAAATGTTATAAATCTAAATATTAAACTTTAGGTGTTAGATATGTGAATGCATAAGAATTGTATGGTATGCATGTAAACTCCCCTTCTTTCTTTACTAGATACTATGCACCATGTATTGTTTAGGCTTGCTAAAAGAAGTTTTGTTTGTGCGAGCATGCGTGCATGGGGGGATTAGGCGTGCAACTAGAAGTTCAAAAATTTTCTTAAATTCTTCCAACTCAGTCTCACAAATTTGCATTGCATATTACAAATAAGGCTATCCAATAGTTGCAATAGAAATGTAGGCAAGTGTAAAAGATATGATATGGCTAACAATAGAGTGACAAGCAGTGAGCGCAATATAAATGATTTTGCTTGATAATATTAACACACAAACTAGTGAATCAATTAATGTAGCTAACAACTGTAATTGTACACAAGTATACCATGTTACTAATAAGCTCAGTTATTATAGATCTACTCAATCGCACGAGCTTTGTTCTATAAAATATATCAAATACTAATCTAGAATGATGTATAAAATAATGATGTTGATAACTAAGTACTGTGCTGTTAGTATTGAACAACTGAGCATAATTGAAAAAAGGGAAATTTACCACATACCTCACAATTCTCATGTATTTACTTATCTAACATTCATAAGCCTATGCATGAAAAGGTGATATTTTTTGAAGTTTATTCATGTAAATATGAATGTTTAGGTGTTAGATACATATGATTTGTCTGGTGTATGTAAATGCACCTTAAAAAAATTTACTCTACTACAATAGCACCAGAAATATTCCCTTCATATATCACTATACAAACATTTGATTGAGCAAGTACTGCCGCTGTTAAATTAATCTATATTTTTTACATAACTATTGTATGTTGATGTTCAACCTTTAGATGAAAACTATGCTTCAGTCTTGATAAATCCTCAGGTTTTCTCCTAGATTGAACAATGGAATCAATAAATGTATTAGTTTAATTGGAATAAATTAGTTATAAGTATTTTTTGAGTTATAGACACACATGTGGTCAAAAGAGATGGAGAACAGCTTAAGACATCAAATCCTAACTAAGCAAATCAGGCTAGTTATCACTCTCAATTCGCTATGATTCCTAGTTGTTACCTGCCAATTTTATATTTATGGGTTTCATAAAGTACTTTATAGGGACCTATAAATTGCTCGAGATTTAACGAGACGTGTAAACTTTATGACGGTTCGTTAACCTCACCTACATTAAACCATTGGACAAGCTTAGTGGGGACCTAGTAAGTGCTTTGGGTTTTCAAACTATTTTATGGTGATTTTACTTAGCTTGCAATATAAGGCACATATGATATTTTCAGTTAGATTTAAAATGAGTTTACTTACAGATATACATGAATTTATCAAGTCCTTCAATCATACATGTGTGATCATTAAAAGTGAGCTCGTCAATTAGGCGAGCGAGTGGCGTCAATGATCTCTCTCCTTTTTTATGTTAACTAACATTTATTAAATGAAACAAAAAAACAGGTTTGAGGTGCAATGAACCTCCCTTTGAAACATCTATATAAAAACTATGTAACATTTTCAGTAAACTCCACATAACATTACCAAATAGCAACATACCATGGTTTTTATCTTGGATAACATTACATTACAAATTACATAAACATTCATAAGTAGAAGTTTTCATAATTAACCATCCAACCAAGGCCTCCTTTTTGTAATTCAAAGCCACAAGTACTTGATATCATAGTGGTTATCTACATTTATCATTGAATTTGGGGGACTACGATCAACTCTTGAGCCGAGTGTGTTTAGATTCGGCTTCGCTTAATGCTAAATCAAGTTGTTTGTGGTGATATCGATATTGAGTTTGTTAGCATGGATCAACACAAATCTCTCTCTATGAACAATTTTTTTATGTGGAATGCTTCCTCCTTTTATCCCATAGATCCACTTCTCTCAATTTATAATTCACATTTTATAAGAGGGGCATTTACATGCATACTGCCCAATTCTTTTGGTTTTATATATCTTACACCTAAATTTTATGTTTTACATCTATACCGCCGAAATCTTTCACATCACATCAAATATACAACTATTTAAACTTTTAGAAATTAATATACACCTTTTTATCAATAGGTAATGCGACATATGTATAAAATTTGAAGTTTAAATGCTATATGCGTAGATAACTAAGAATTGATTGGTATGCACGTAAATCCTCCTTTATAATATTTCCAATTTTAAGTTTAATGTTCCAATCTTGTACTTATACATACTCTTTCCATTTGTTGAATTCCTTTAATATATTATCCTTGATGATGTACGTATAGAGCATTTACACCCGATATCCATGCCGCAATGCAAGATAGTGTTAATTAAAATTTTCATAATCATTATAAATTTTGCAGTCTTTAAATAACTTTGACCAAAGTTAAGAGAAGCATAAAACAAAGTTACATGTTGAGATGTGAATGCTTAGGTGGATGTGGCTTGTCATAGTGGTTATCTACATTTATCATTGAATTTGGGGGACTACGATCAACTCTTGAGCCGAGTGTGTTTAGATTATAGAGAGTCGTATTAGATGGTTTGGTCACATTAAACATCAACCATCTGATGATTCAATTAAAAATGTAGATGTTTTAGATTTAACTTATGTACTTTTAATGTCCAGTGAATTACTTTGATTGGGTCATTTCTATATTTTTTTCTCATAAAAAATCCAAGTGTCTTTTGCATCACTGTCTGTGTGTGCTTAAAAGTTATATTGAGCTAAGACTTAAAGATTTTATCACAATTGAAAATTTTCTAGCACATAATAATAATAATAATAAAGTTTTGAAACTTGTTCATGGCAGCGAGACATCAGATAGATGGGAAATTAATAGTGTAACCAAGTCAAGCCAAATTCTGAGCAATTTGGAATCATCTTGATAAATGGCTCACGGGCTCAGCGAAATGAAGTAATAAACCAAGCTCAAGTCAGCCCCACTCATCTCTTTAGCTTCCGAGTAAGATTATTTAAGAATATATTAATACTATGTCACTCAAAATATATCAAAAATCAAGATTCCATTTATAAATTATCATAAATATTAAAAATTTAAATAGTATTTTTATATCAAATGTTTTTTTATTATCTAGCTTTTTTGTTATTCATTATATTTATCATTTTATTATAACACTATCGTTTCCCCCATTCATATAGAATATATTGATTTGTGAGTTGACTCAAAACTATTAGAATTAAACTCGAGCTAGATTAATTAATCAATTTCAAACTCCTCTCAAAGGTGGCTAAAGCTTGAACTCATGTTGATGGTGGCTCAAACTGGGCTCGACTCATTTACACAAGCAATTATTAGGTGCAGAGTCTCAAAGTCTGCACATACAGATTTAATTATATTTTAATTGTATTAGTTTTTGGGGATGTTTGCCAACAATGAGATTTAAGTTAATAGGATTTAGTATATCCTGTAAATCCGAATTTAGTAAATCTTGAAAGGGTTAAATCTTAAAAACAGTTCGACAACTAATTGAATAAATCATCTTAAATCCTATGAAACAGTTTGACAATTTTTCAGGATTTAAAAATATGTTATGGTTGTTAAACTTTAACAACAAATCATAATAGAATTTAGTAAATCATGTAAATTCGACTTCTCAAAACAATTCAAAATAATCAAACTAGCTTCTTAAATTCAACTAATATTTTATTTCAAAATATGATAAATAATAATTATATTTTTACTCAAACTAATGAATTATTAATAAATATTTTTTATAAAATTAATGATTACATAGAAGTTTAACAATTATAAAAGAATAATTAATTACTTATTAATTATATTTATTATTAATTACTTATAAATTTATTGAATAAATAAAGTAATTATATTTAGTTTTCATTAATAAATAAATAAATTTATTTAAGTAAAATTAATTTGATATTATTTTAAATGAATTATGAATTATTAATTAATTAAATTAAAAAAATTAATTTAAATAAAATTAAATTAAGAAAATTAAATTAATGAAATCTTTGTCTACATCACTCCTCTCTCTCACTCTGAAATTCTCGCCCACATCGCTCCTCTCCTCGAAACCCTCTTTGTTTCATCCAAAAACCATCGCCTTCATCATCGAATCCTCGCAATACAATTGCAATTAGAGCTAGCTGGGAACTCAACGACCTGATCGAGGCTTACAGAGACTCGAAACTCCCATTTTTTTCCTCCTGCTCCTCTCCTACCACCATTCAGGAAGGTAAATTCACGTCATTTTTTAACAAAATCTTTGGTAACTTCACGTCATTTTTCTCAAATCATAAAAAACAAACAATCAGCCAACATATCTGTAATAGCTTTATGGAATAGCTAAGCCAAACAAACCCTTAGGTTAAGCTCTAATTCGTAGGCCCTAATTGATACCATAAATACAATTAATACGATTAAAATAAAATGAAATAGGCATGTGTTTCGGGCACTGTCTAATTATTTTTCCATTTACCCAGGGCAACATAAGCGAACGGCCGGCCTTCGACGCAAGGAGCGAGAGTGAAGGCAGTAGAAACGAGAGAACTCATGGCGGGCGGCACGAAAAACCCTAAGAAGGCGAACCTCCTTGATCCCCATGCCATTAAACATGTTCTTGACGAATCCGTCAACGAGGTATTGAATTTGAATCGCTGTTCCTTTCATTACCTGGTCAGTTAATCTCTATTTTGCTCGCCTTTTTTCTTTACTGGGATTTTATAGAGATCTCTTGACAGATCGTGACGAGTCGAGGATACGCAGAGGATTTCCGTCTGAGTAACTTGAGGCTGTTTATCGGGACTGTGATTATCGCCGTTGCTCTCGTTGCTCAGTTCTACCCTAAGAAGTTCCCGGAGAACAGGGATATCCTCATCGGCTGCATCGTATTATATCCTTGGGTTATTCATTCAATCGGCTTCGCGGTCTTTTTTATTTTGACTTGAATTGGTTTGTGTGATGTTCTTCCTTGACTATGGTAAGTATGTAGTTCTCAATGGGATCTTGCAGTTCATTAGCTACACCAAGGAGAAAAATGCGATCCTCTTCACTTATCCTCCTCCCGTGAGTTTTTTCTTTTCTTGGTTGGTTAAACTAGTTTCTTTGTTTTAATGAATGATATGCGTGGGGTAGTTTGCTAATGTTTCTGGATTCAAAATTGTCAGCAACATGGACCATGTTTTTTTTATTAAGCCGACTTACACCTATACGAGTCTGTGTGTGTGTGTGGAGGGGTGGAGGTGATAGTTTGCAGAAAATTACTTGAAGAATTGTTTTATAAGGAACTTGATTGATTCCCTTTAAGCGAAGAAGGGCAAGCCAAATCAAGTTAAGGAAAAACAATTCAGAGGAAGGGAGAGGGAGAAATTTCTCATTCAAAGTTTAAAATAAGAGCATTTACATACATGCCGCCTAATTCCTATGTATTTACATATCCAACGCCTGAACTTTACTTTTTACATCTATACCACCCAAATCTTTGATATCACATAAAAAATACCACTATTTTAACTTTTAAAATCTAAATACACCTTTTTATGCATATGTAAGGTGCTGTGTATGTAAAACTCAAAGTTTAGGCTCTAATATGTGAATACATAGGAATTTACTGGTATGTATGTAAATAATTCTTTGAACTATTAATGCCTTAAATTTCATTTGCTCTTGTTAAATTTCATTCTATGGAAGCAAACAACTTGGCAATTAATTGGCAATTTATTTTTCAATATGCTCGATGACATATTTCTAAGCGAAATGATAGTTTGAATTTAGACTAGGGACGTCCTTAAGCAGAACTAAATGAACTTAGTTGTGTAGTTTCCTTAACCGACTAAATCAATAATGAGATTTAGATAGAAAATTTAGTGAGGTTTTTTTAAAATTTATTTTTGAGAATATAAGCGGACAAGCTTTATTCTGCTATTTTCATGTTTATAAAATAAGGCTTTTAAATAGTTCTAGCTAGCCCCTTGGCCCATGAGTTTGACCTTCCAATAGTTTTAGTGGGATGGTTCTGATGAGTATAAGCTTAAGGCGGTGTTTGGTACGCCATTTTAAATAGGATTTATGTCAGTGTTAACGTAAATACTGCCAAACATGAAAAAAACAAAACTTAAATCTTGTTGTATCTTAAATCCGAATTTTTCTCTGTTTTGATGGAAATCCTTGATTTATTAAATCTGGTTTTTAGGTGGATTTAACAGATGTAAAGCAGAAAACATACCTCTAGATTGTTTAGGATTTAGAGATTTTCGCTTCCCTCATAATCAAACACTTTAATGGGATTTAACTGGATTCAATCATAAACGAACCAAACTTTATACTGGATTTAAATGCATCTGGATCTAATAAATCCGGATTTACAGGATTTACTAAATCCTATTTAACTTAAATTTTGGGTGCAGCCAAACACCCCCTAAATGGTCTAACATTAATCGGCTTAGGGCCTGATGAGCTCATTTATTATGTTGAAGCTCTACCGTAACCGTCTTTATTAGCTATGAAGGGAGTGGAAAATAAAACACAATTGATATGAGAGTTGTGCTTTGAACTCAAGATTAATTATAAAAATAACTAAATTGCTCCATTATGCTAAATCCATGTAGTTAGGCCTAACTAAAACAAAAATTACTATGTTTATATAATTATGTGAAGGTGGGCTTAGAACAATGGTTTAAGATGCCTCCATTATAATAGTGATTCTGAGACTCAAGTCAATGAAATACTTTCTATTAATGAAGCCAAGGCCTATGTACAAACTGCCTTCATATCATATATTGAGTTAAGTTATAAGCTCGATACTCATTCATACAAGGCTCATTTATATTTATTCACTTAAGTTATTAAATATGTTTGAACAAAATTTTAAAAACTTGACATATAAATACTCAAGTTCGAAATTGGCTAACTCATTCATTTATGCTTGTGGCTTGCTATTTGTTGCTTAGCAAGTGCTTTGTCATGAGGTTGATAAAATACTTAATGGTAGTTTAATTACTTTTTTGGTGATGTATTTTATATGTTGATATAAATTATCTTGTATCTCATGTATCTAAAAAATCATATATATCAAAGTATATGCATGATATATATATCAAACAAGTAACTAGATTTATAAATTAAATATATATTTTATAAATCTTAGCTAAATAATATCAATAATACTTAGGTTCAATTTGAGACAGTTTTTCATCTGTATTGTGTTTCAGACTGCCATGATAACTCTATCGGCTAACTGCTTTCTTACTTTCTTTTAGAAATTTTTATGATGATAAATTATTTTTTGTACCCAAGTTTGTTAAAGTGCGATAGTTATAAGATAGCTATTATCAATTTTTTTGAAAAAAAGCAATTATAATTTCTATCTTTGTTTTCTAAGGGTTTGCTTTCCATATCACAATTTTACAACTGCCTTTATAAAAAATTGTAGTTGTCTCAAAAAAGCTCTGTCTATTTGGTTAGTCTAATCAAATCCATAAATCCATTTATGTTTGCTAATAAGTATATATATCTAAATCATTTGGATAAAATGCTCCGACAATTAAGCTCATTTAAAGCTCAGTTATAGCTCAAACTTGCTAAATCCATTTATGTTTGTATGCATTGGTGTGTGCATGTGCTTTATTTTCGTTATAGTTTTGGAAAATAATGCTATTTTTCATTTTGTGTGTTCATGATGAATGCTTCTACTAGTTCAAGTTACACTTGAGTTTGCTTTATTTTACTCGTATTGATTGTTAGTCGCTATGACCGACGTTGCTGTAATTGTTTCATTCATTGGCTAATACTTTTTGATGATTGTCATAAAAGTTTATTTCAACAATTTTATTATTATTACTATTATTATTGGTGGCCAATTATTATATTATTGTTATTATTATTATTATTGTTTTGGATTGCAATCTAGACTATATGAAAAAAAAAGTAAAGTTGATTTTTAAGTTTATCGCAAACTGTAGAACTCAAGTCAAGTTTATTGTTGGTGGTCTATTATTATTATTATTTTGGATTGCAATCTAGACTAGATGAAAAAAAAAGTTAAGGATGATTTTAGGTTTATGGAAAACTGTAAAACTCAAGTTAATCCCTTTGAAATGAATCCAAATTTGAAATTTGTTGGTGCCAGGCTGTTTGTCAAAAGTGACAAGCCATGACATGACTCTAATGTATGAGAACTAAGCAAGGGTTGGCTAGGACGCCACTCTAATGTGATGTACCACTAGTTAACTTGATTGTTGTAACGATGGTGGTTAGGATGCCAAACTTAATTGAAACAAATACCGTAAGTTAACTGATTATGGGGAGAAATAAGCAAAGGTTGAATAGATCTAAATCCAATTTAGCTTTATCATATATAATTTTGAAATTTGGAATAGGAAAGATAAATAATTGATGGATATTATGATAGGAAGAAGAATAGTATTGCTTATTTATTTAACAAATGAGTGGAAAAAGAAAAATCCAAGGACATTGAGGGAGTTCACAAGTTATTGAATGTTAGAAATGTTAATAACAGGAATAGCACCTGGCTTTTAATTGATAAAAATAGTTGAATGTTACATTATTGATTTAGTAGGATTAGTGATAGATTGAGTGCTATTAATATAATTACTTTGATTTAGTTAGTGCTGATACTGCTCAACTTAAATTATAAAGTTGTCCAAAAAATTAGTTTCTTGAAGAGATGAATGAAGTGCTACAATGTATACCTATTGAAGAAGGGATAATTATCGGAGATGATTTGAATGTGCATATAGGTTCAAATACGTTGGTTTATGAAAGAATTTATGATGATTTGGGAATTTGTAATAAAAATGTAATAAGAGAGTTCTCACATCCTATGATCTTGTAATGGAGAATGCATCTTTAAGACATGAGAAGAAAATTCAATTACTTACAACTGCTAAATCACAATATTTTTTTTTATTATTTAAAAAGAAAGAAATTTTAATAAGATTGACGGTTGATTCAATGAAAAAGGCAAAGTACATAACGTGGGTATGGCTTAGTATCGTAATAGTATATAAAAATATTCAAAAGAAATTATGGATATAGGAAAAGGTGGTGGAATTTGAAATTTGGGAACAATTGATCTTTCATGTTAGCTTAATAATAGAAAAATTGAAATTCTCCTACTAAGCAAAGTCTGATGTGGGATAAGATGGTTAGCTAAAAGTAGATTATAAACCAATATGAGTATTTAATGGTGCTTGACAAGGCACAGAGAGTTATGATGGGACAAATGTGTTTTTAAAATGTAGAAAAATGAATTTTATTTGGGCTTATAATGACTATAATATATGATACACTTTAATTATGGTAAGGAGTAAGTGATTATGAATTTTGGTTATGAATATAATAAGATCTTGGTTAAAGATTAAGACATTTAGGACTCATGAAAAAAATAATTTGATAAATGATTAAATGTATGCTTTAAGGAACTAATTCTTTTGAAACAGCATTATGAAAAAAATTGGGGCTCATTTGGCTTCACATTTATTTTATGTTTTGTCTTCGTTTTTAAAAACATTTCTTGTTGTTACAATTTTTATATGTTTATGTTTTTGTTTTTAAAAATAAATCACATTTTTAAAATAATCAGAAACACCTAAAATGATGCAACTACAGCCAAACTTGTTTTAGTTTAGATCAAAATATAAAGAAAATAAAAATAAAAATATAGAAAATAAAAGCGATCCCAAATAGCCCATAGTGTAAAGTTTTTTAAATTGATTAAAAGTAATGTAGCTTAGAAGAAGATACGTAAAGTTAAAGTTTTATGCCATGATGAGTTATATAAATTTTGGAGATTGATCGGGCGCATTGCAATGTTCAGAAAATATGCATAAAGTTAAAGCATTATGCTAGGATGAGATACATTGAAATTTGGAGAGTTATGGGGATCATTGTTGTGATTGATTAAGAATTATTTCAATGAAATTTTAGAGAATGAGTGGATCTCAAATGATTAGAGAAATTAATTGATACTAATATTTAAGAAAAAAATATTGCTCAAGATTGTATTAACCACATAGGAATCAAACTTTTGAGTTTACAATGAACAGATACAAGATATGAATGAAATATAGAAAAATTTTATTAATTTTAGACAACCTAATTGATTCATGATTGTGGTGTAATTGAGCCTTATCAAGCTTCTTTATGTATTGCTCGAGCTAGGATTGTTTATCAAATCATGAGCTCGAGCTAGAGTCGAGCTCAAAGGGCAAATTTGAGCTCAACTCGTTGTAATAGCATCAGGTCTCATGAGCTTAAGCCAAAGAAGGTCTTCGGAGAAGGCATCAACGTGATGAGCAGCTATATATACAAGTCGATGAGTTGTGCCTCGATGAGCTTGAACTTGGGCTCGTGTAATATTTGAGCTCAAGCTCGTACCTCATTATGCTTGACTCGTAAACTCATTTGTGAGTTGAGTTTAAGTCGACTTGGCTCAGTTACTCCCCTAATTTATGTCATGGTTTTGTATTATGACATTTAATGGAGAATACAAAACAAAGAAGGAATCTAATTATACTTATAATTATCTTAAGTAGGCATAGAAATGAGTGCCACTAGAATTGATTTGAAGGGTAATGAAGTTGAAAGGTGTTTGTTAAAATTTGTTGATATTATTTGTAGTGCTAACTAATGCTATTAGTTGTATAATTAACCATGGGTTTTCAATTATTTTAGTGTAGTATTAGTAGGTCTGATATTAACCACTATATTTAATATTATTAGAAGATACGGACTTACCAAGCAATGATGTGTTTCCAAGTAATTTGCATCTATTATATAGAAGAATGAAATATATAAATGGGGATATAATTTCTAGAGTTGAGGATTGTTGTAAAATGGAAAATTGTTTCAATTGTTTTATAAATGGATATCAAGCTTAATGGTAAATTTTATAAATGTCAAATAAGAATGTGATGTTGCATGGACTTGAATATTGGACTGTTAAAAAGTTATTGATATTTAAGGTGAGTTCGGTAGAAATTAGAATTGTAAGATGAATGTGAAATAATTAGTAAGGAATAATTAAAGAATGATCATATTTAAAAAAAAAATTATTTACATCTATTAAAGCTAAGGTATGTGGAAGTAGACGATAGGTGGTTTGGGCATCCATAATAAAGGGTAGAAAATATTTCTGTTAGACGAATTGATAAAATTGATGTAGAAAGATTGGGGAAAAAATGAGCACGCTTAAGGTTTCATTGATAAAATTATTCAAAATGATTTTTAAGAAGTATGATTAACGCTTCATACAGTACTTATGTGAATAAATGCAAAATGAGGATTAATAATGCCATTCTTACCTTAAATAGTTGGCATAAGGCTGATCACGATGATGGAAAAGCTCTTACTGATATGCAAAAATCATTCGCTTATAATGTATAACAAATATGTTTCATGTATAAATATTAATTTGTCATTGTCATCGTTGTTTTCATATGATTTACTGCCATTTATTATGTTTATGTGAGAGTTTATTTGGGAATGGTTTTGTCGTCATTTCCTTCGATTGAAAACAACATATTTTTCATTAATATCTACTTTTTGCTAATCTTGAAAATCTGCTATGTTTGTAGGGATCTTTCAACACCACAGGGTTGATTGTATCCTCAAAGCTTCCGAGGTTTTCAGACCTGTACACTCTTACGATAGCGAGTGCAGATCCAAAATCTATTTCAGCCAACAAACCCGCGCAACTTGTCAAGAGCGTCACAAAATGGTAATAATAATAATAATGAATTTATCTGCCCTTTTGTTTCTAATTAGGAAAATTTACATGTCACACAATTCTTATATATGTACATATCTAACAACTGAAGTTTAATATATACACACATTACATACATTTTATTGCTATAATCACATCAAAGCTTATGCATAAAAATGTGCATTTCACTTTTAAAAAGCTAGATTTAGTGGTTCTTTTGATGGGATGTAAAAATTTGCGTGTCATAAATGTAAATATTAAAGTTTAGGTTAGATATGTAAATTTATAAGAATTGTGTGATATGTATTTAAATCCCGCTTCTATCTAATCTCCCTCTTTGATGAATAGATTCATAAATCTATGCCCAATTGCTCAACATTTGCTTTCAATATTTTTTACAAATACACCATATATGATTATTTCAAGAATTATCTGTGGTGAATTTTATTTATTAGAAAAGGCCATGCAGATTTATAATCTAAGATATATGTGGTTCCTTGTACAAGGTTATTTGCTAACTTTTTTGCATTCCTTATATGGTACATTTTAGGTTTTGTTCGGTGCAGTTTTTTCATTGTTTTACTTTCCAGACCGTTGCAACACTTCCATTTTTTGTTATTTTCTAGAAACTTTTGCAGTTTTAAGTTTCTTTTTATAAATAGCTATACCAGTGTGTAGTAACTATAAAAACATACATAATGCTAAATGCTTATGTATTTACAGATCCAACACCCATACTTCAATTTTTACTCATGTGCCACCTTATCCATTTGCATTTAAAAAGTTTTTGATGCGATATAGTATACATATAATAAGTAAAGTTTGTGTTAGGTATGTAAATACCTAGAAATTTGGTGCGGTATGTATGTAAATGCCCCTAAAAGTAAACTGTACACACGATAGCCTTTACATAAGTTGTTTTAGTTACAAAAATTTCACAATCATCTTTATAAAGAGCCTACTATATGAGGATTTTTTATAACCCACCTCTTTAATTAGTATATATATACATATGTAAAGTACTTTTTTTCACATGAAAAAATACTTTTGATTTATCATTGTGCTTTAACTCAACAGGTTTACAAAGGATACTCAATGGGATCTTGCAGTTCATTAGCTACACCAAAGAGAAAAATGCGATAGCGAGTGCATATCCAATCTTTTTCAGCCAACAAACCCGTGAAACATGTCAAGAGCGTCAGAAAAGGTTTACAAAGGATGGTATACTCGTGCAGGGTCTATTTTTGAAGGATTTGGAGAGACTGTTAGATGATTACAATGGAGAGAGGAAGAACAAGTGAACTAGACGTTGAAGCGAAAACCAAAGAACTGCTGGTATTATTGTTCCCCATTCTTGGACCTGATTTAGAACAGATGTTTTGATTTTGTGAACTGATTATAACAATCCTCTAAATTTAAGATCTAAGATTGGCGAATAGAAAATGTAGATGTGGTTTCTTTTTATTTCTAATTAGAAACATGAAGTTATATTGCAGGTCCCATGATTTGTGTGGCTTCAGAATAGGCATTTACATACATACCACCTAAATCCTATGTATTTACATATCTGCCAGCTAAGTTTTTTTTATATATATATTTATACCACCCTAAGCTTTCATATTACATGAAAATATCATTATTTTAATGTTTAAAAAGTGAAATGCACCTTTTCATCCATACGTAAGGTGTCATAGATGTAAATGCATTGGAATTTAGTGTCATATTTGCAAACCTTTTCTTTTTTTTTTCTGTGTTGCCGATTTTTATACCAATTTATACCTCTTCCTTTTGAGATGAAATGCATTATGAGCAAATACCTGATCTTTGCAGTGTTAGACATTTGAGGATATCATAACCTTTTTTTAAGTAGAATTGTGCCAAAAAAGGATTGCTTAGACACTCATAACCTTGTTTGCTACGGTTATGAACCAAACGTTATTGAATGGTGATTGTCCAGCACTTGAATTAGCTTTGTAAGGGCTCATTTGGTTGCATGGTTTAGTAAATTTAATGACTCAATTTGTTAAAATTACTATTTCTTTTTATGTAGTTAGAGTATACAATTCATTTTTAATTTCACTGTTCTTGTCATGTTTCTCAAACTCAGCGCTTTTGTTTTTACCTTTAAAATGAGAAAAAGAAATTTTTTATTGTTTAAAGTTGAAAATGAGGGAAGAAGATGGTAGAAGGGTTAATCTATGATAATGAAGTAAACATAGCATTTGAAAAAAAGATACACTGAGGTAAGGTCTTAATGATATTGTAAGTAGGGTCGTAAACGGACGAGCTCAGGCTTGGCTTGTGTACGGCTTGTTTGAAATTAATTATGTTCGAAATTGACTCTTGTTTGAAATTGTTTGTGATCAGTGTTTTCGTGTTTGATTTGATTTACATATTCTTGTTCGTGTTTGGCTTATGTACGACTTGAAATTAGCTTGTCTAAATAAATTAAAATAATAGATGTGAGGGAAAAAATAGAACCATATGATCTCACGAGTTGTGACAATTTAAACTTATATAAATATAACATGATCGAATAAAACATGGTATGTGTCCAGCTTGTTTATAATTTGAATTTAACAAACTTATTCGTGTTTGACTCATTTATTTAATGAATAATTCAAACAATGAATCTAACACGAGCTATTCAAATGGTTTTTTTTTTTTTTTTTTTTTTTTTTTGACAGCCATGCGACTAATAATAGTAATATATTTGTATACAAACCACCTAATTTTTTTGTATTTACGTATCAAACATTTGTTATCTATTTATTTTTTTAGATTATTTTATATTACACAAAAATTGTAATTATGTTAAACTTTTGGAAAGTGAAATGCCATCACGCGTGCCGGGACCATGGCTATATGTTAAGTTTTATGTTTTGGTGTCAGATATGTTGGTACGTAGGGGGGCAGCGGCCATGAGCTTGATAGTATCTGTTTAATTAGACGCACATGCCTCATCCGACGGTCAAGAAGTACCGTAACGGCAGCTTGTCCGATAAACCTACTAGTTAGGAGCAGAAAGGTCGTTCTGCAGGCTCTAAACTTAGTACTCATAACTAACTCCCTTATATTCTTCCACTTATTTTTATATAAAAATTCAGGAGACATATCTATCTAAGTTTATTTATTTAAGCGGCCTGAGGTGAGAAGAAGAAGCAGCAGCAGCAACAGTAGCAGCGGCAGCAGTAGCATCAGCAGAAGAAGCAGAGATGAAGCAGAGGGCTAAATATGATGAGGATGGAGTGAATAAGGGAGCTTGGACTGCTGAGGAAGACGAGCTCTTGGCCTCCTATGTCAATGCCGTAGGTGAAGGCAATTGGACGAGTGTTCCCAAGAAAGCAGGTGAAACCATGCAGAAAATATTACGGTCATTCATACATCTAGATTAGTATTTTACATCTTGAATATCCGTATGTGCGCATATATAAACATTATATATATGAAGTTTTCTCTCTTTTCTCCATTTCTCCTTGAGAATACAAAAAAATTTGAGAGATATTGTAAAGTGTGTGTATATATATATATATATATATATAATCTCAAAAACATAATGCGCGTGTATGTTTATGTAATTGATGAAGGTCTCAATAGGCGTGGAAAGAGCTGCAGGCTAAGGTGGCTGAATTACCTTCGCCCAAACATAAAACGTGGAAATATCTCAGTGGAAGAAGAGGAGCTCATTATTCGACTCCACAAACTCCTTGGCAATAGGTTCTCTCTCCCACACAAGTGCAAGATTAGGGTTCCATTTTGAATGAAAATACGGATTCAATTTTATGAAAATAAAAAAATAATAATTAGAATTTAAATAATTAAGTAAATAAAGTATGTTCCCTATCATCATCTAAATGCTTTTATCCATAAAAGCATCATGTATTTTAAGTATCATTTTGTATGACGTTAAAATGAATGTTATAATTTATTTTATCCGTTGATTGTGACTGCGGGAGAATCCGAGGTTCTTCTATCATTTAACCGAGACTTCAAATTATTTGCACTTATCACAACATAGTAGTTAAGGGTATCGCCTGTCACCATTAGATCGCAGGTTTGAATCATGCATATTGTCTTTTGGTGTAACCTTTTCCTAAAAAAGAAAGACTTAAACTACTTATTCAAATCATATTTGTAAGAAAAATTTTAATAAAAATAAAAATATATATATATTAATGGATTGAAGATGTCTCAAAATTTATGTTTTACTGAATTTGAAAATAATTCAAAATTGAGCTATTTTCAACTTATGATTAAATTTTGTTAAACATATTCTAACTAAATGTTTTCACCCATATTGTCTTGATTAAAATTTTCTACTCTTACTTTAAATTTGTTTTTTGAATCAATAGGTGGTCTTTAATTGCTGGAAGGTTGCCTGGTCGAACAGATAATGAGATCAAGAACTATTGGAACACGACTCTATCGAAGAAGATTCAAACAAAAAAATTTACGATTAACATGCCAAATATTAAGGCATGGAAGCCTAAATCAAATCCTCTGGAAACCAAAATTACTTCTTTTATCTCTTATTCGATTCAAACTATGGAATTAAAGTGCACCAAAGCTTCTTATCCATTACATGTTCTACCTTCCACAAGTGAAGTTATTCAAACCCAACAAATGAGCCAGCAAAACTTTCGAGAAGAACTAATGGAGGAGAAACAAGATAAGGTATTGGATTGCGATTCGTTTTCTTTTGATGATGAAATGTGGATCGCTGGATTGGAGTTCGGGGGTGAGATTAATGTTGTTGATGATTATGATAATGATTTGGTTTGTAGCTTATTTGACAAAAATCTTTGACTGAATTTTTTATATTTAAGAGAATGGTTTGACCTAATAGTACCGTAGCAATGTAATAAGAATTTGGAAAATAGGAGCAGAAGTTGTGCTTTCTTAAGTGATGTATATCCTTTCCATGGATTAATAAAGAAGTTTTATTATATTCAATGATGAAATAAGGAAGAGATTGGTTGGCTACACATTCTTTTGTGAAATTTTATGCATATGCAATATAACAAAAAATATATATATATATATATTGGGGAACATAAATTTGTTTAAATAATGATCTATTATAGCACAACAAACAGTTTTTACATCAACAAACATTTGTGATGTGTATATAGATGTTGCAATATAAGTTTAGTTAAGAAATTAGTATGGCGGCAATGCATTCTAATAAACATGTGAAAATTTTAAGTTGGAGCGACACTATTAACTTACTAGCTATCATTTTAAACTCTTACTGACTTGGTGTGAGAGTAATATTTTGGGGACTGTGTAGTTATCCAAGATTGAGTGGGAGTCATTCGATAAGACTCACATATTTTCAAAGAACTTTGCCATTCAAATTGTTTATATATCATGCACGACTTATTTTACCTTCATTGCTTAACATTATCATATTTTCTATACTAATAAAAGTAACTATAATGCCTAAATTTAGTAATAATACTTACAATAATTCATATAGCATTATTGATATGTAACAATAATGTAAGTCTGGCTGGAAAATAATGTCAACTTCAAACTAAAACTCAGGATGGGATACTTTTATCAAATGAAAATTTTCTACCACGACCCTCTCTCTTAGAGTTGGGCTTCAATTAATATTGAATTACATAAATAAAGTATAAAAAAAAAATCTTAGTATAAAGTTAAAGAATGTATAAATTTGGTCTCTTTTTACTCGATTGATTAAGATATTTAGGCTTAAATTAAATACGAGTTATCACCCTTCTTTCTTGGACCATGTTGTGCATCATGGAATTTCTGCACCAATAAAACATTTACAAACATATTTCAAGATGGGATATAATCTGTGCATGTTAAAATCCCCGGTATTCATGAAAATATCAATGTTTAAGTTAGGACTTGCTTATGAATATTAAATTTGACCTCGCCTCTTCAAATAATGTATAAATTATGAAAAAGTTACAAAAATGAAGGTATGATGAAAATATATTAATTTTCAAATTGAAGACCAACACCATGGATTTTTATCTATTTATTTTAATCATATAATTACAAATCATGGTTCTAAATATGTCCTATCATTGTGTTTAAAAATGACTTATTTTGGAATATAACTTTACTATTATTATTCCAAATTATGGCTCTCTAAGTATGTGATGTATTTTGTCATGATATGGAAAGTTGGTTTTAGTGCCCCTCTTCTTCATAAAACTTATGTGGTTGCCCAAGAAATTATATTTATACATCATTTTTAATCATGAATGAAGAATACAATTTTTTTTTGTTTCATTTTTATATTTTTGTCATTGTTCGTGATTTGTATCTTTTATCCTCACCACTCGAACTCTGCTTGTTTAGGGTTGACCTCATATATTTATTCTATGATGGTATGATCCACTCATAATATTTATTCATTCAGCACTGTGTTCTATTCTTTATTAATTATTATATAAATTTAGTTAATTTTTATACTAATGTTAATATATTTTTCTATAAGATCAAATATATTTCCTGTAATGCCCCATGCATCCTCATGCCTTCTTCACTACTCCAACCTTGCCATATATCCTACAACATCACTTGCAACTTAGACCTCTACTTATTAACTAATCAATAGTGCTCCACGTTGCTTTACTATCTTCTCCTAAAACATTTTATGCAACTTCACTTCATACTCTTTTAATGACATCATTGTAAGCCACCTTTGTAATAATCTTTGTCATATGATCATATAAACATTTCACCAATGGTGCCACTTATGAACATTCAAAGACAAAAATAACTGAAAAATGTTGTGAAAAACGACGGCAATAAATTGAAAAAGGGAACGAGTAAAATTGCACACAGAGAAAAAGCACTATAAAGGGCGACACAAGATTTACGTGGTTCGGAAATTTGCCTACGTCCACGGAGCTGCAGAGGGTTTTATTAACTTGAGGAATAACACCGTCGAGCACCTCGACGCTTTCTCGACATTTACAAGAAAATCTCTATTTTCTTCTCTCCCTTATTTTCTGTCTCTCTCTTCCTCTCTTTCTCTTAGCTCTCAAGATGACTTGTCTTGGTCTTTTTTGGCTTGCATTTTCTTTAAACCAAAAGAGACTATTTATAGAAACCATGAGAGCGGTAGGTGAGAGGTAGGTGAGCGGTAGGTGGGAGGTAGTTGAGCGGTAGGTGAGATACTTAATTAAAAAGCTAATTAAATTCGGTGGACCAGGTCTCCACATTACCCAACAAAAAAAATATTTGGTTTTCTTGAAGAAGAAATATTGCCACCTAACATGAATCTACTAAATATTTGATGCTTTCGAATACCCACCAAGGATCAGGCTAAACTAACGTGACATTCCGTCACTTTGTATGCCTATAAAGTTCTTAAAAAAAATCTAAAATGGATGCTTTCTACTATAAAATGGCTTAATATCATAAGAGAATATTGATGCAGATGTTTGATAAATAATATTGTATAAGGATTGAAATGCTATTAAACACCTACAATACACGTAAGTATACATGTCATTCAAGTAGTATACGACTCAAAATCTGTGTGTTGATCCCATCAGGAATGATTGAACTCCCAGAGTTTGGAAAATTTATTGTCTACTTATTTTGAATGTAGCCTAAAGGTTGGAAATTTGGTGATTTTAAAATTTATAAACCTAATTTTTGCAAAAAGTAAAAATTGCATGTGTTTTTAATGACTCAATTTGTTAAAATTACTATTTCTTTTTATGTAGTCATAGTATACAATTCATTTTTATTTTTATTGTTCTCCCCAAAATTTATCAAATTTAGCTCTTTTGTTTTCACATATAAAATGAGTAAAAGAGATTTATTATTGTTTAGAATTGAAATGAGGGGAGAAGATGGAAGAAGGGCTTAATCTGTGATAATGAAGTAAACGTAGCGTTTCAAAAAAGACACGTAAGGTAAGGTCTTAATGATATTGTAAGCAGGGTCGTAAACGAACAAGCTCAGGCTTGACTTGTGTGCGGCTTGTTTGAAATTAATTATGTTTGAAACTGGCTCATGTTTGAAATTATTTGTGAACAGCGTTTCCCCGTTTGACTTGATTTACATATTTTTGTTCGTGTTTGGCTCGCGTTCTACTTGAAATTAGCTTGTATAATTAAATTAGAAAATTTTATATGAGATGTTGGATTCAAATCCTCATCATTCTTTTACAATAATAATAATAATAAATAGAACCGTAGGATCACTCCAGTTTTGATGATTTAAAATTATATAAATATAACATGATGGAACAAAAGGTGACAAAGAATCTAACATGAGGTGTTCATGAAAAATGAGTTTTATTTATTTATTTATATATGCCATTCAATTATTTTATATTACATAAAAATTTATAATTATGCTAACTTTTAAAAAGTGAAAGGTAGACGCTTGCTTGGATAATGAGGTACACGTAAGTTTTGGTGTCTGACATGTAAGTACGTAGGGGTGGGGGCGGGAATGAGCTTGACAGTGTTTGCTCAGTAAGCTGCACATGCCTCATCCAACGGTCAAGAAGTACTGAAAAGATGGCCAGTTCGATAAACCTACTGGTTAGGAGCAGAAAGAACTTTCTGTCGGTTCTAAATTTAGTACGCATAAATAACTCCATCTAACCTTCTACTTATTTATATATAGAAAAATTCTGTGGACAAAGCTATCTATGTTTATCTATTTAAGCAGCCTAAGTTGAGAAGAAGCAGCAGCAGCAACAGCAACAACAGAAGCAGCAGAAGCGGAGATGAAGCGGAGGGCTAAATATAATGAGGATGGAGTGAATAAGGGAGCTTGGACTGCTGAGGAAGACGAGCTCCTGGCCTCCTTTGTCAATGCCGTGGGTGAAGGGAATTGGACGAGTCTTCCCAAGAAAGCAGGTAAAGCTACGCAGAAAATATTATGTGTGGTCATTCATGGGTCTAGATTAGTATTGTACATGTTGAATCAATGCATCTTTTGAATTAATCGCCGATGGCGGCCATCGGCGCCTTGAGGGCGCCATCGGTGGGCCTTCTAAATTAATTGATCTGAGTATCGGGAAAATCTCGCTTTCGGCGCTATCGGGCTCGCCGTCGGCGCCCTAGTTCAATTCTTCATATTTTGGTCTTTTTTTTCTCCAAATTCGCTCTTTTTTTGCATATTTTTGCTCCAATGATCATAATTTAGCATACCTGCAAAAACTATATATATATATATA